CTCTATGATCCAGTAATCCCACTTCTGGGCATTTACCCCAATGAGCACAAACAAGGATATGATAAAGCTACCAGTACAACTATGCTTATTACAGCATTATTCACTACAGCTAAGATATGGAATCAACCTAGATGGCCCTCAGTAGATGAACGGATTAAGAAAATGTGATATATATATATTCCATTATATATACACATATATCTATATATGTATACATAGATATAATGGAATTCTATGCTTCCATCAGACAGAATGACACTGCTCCATTTGTTAGGAAGTGGAAAGACTTGGAAAAAATCATGTTAAGTAAGCCAGACCCAAAGAAATATAGGTCCCAAGGATTCCCTCATTTGCAATAATCAGTATATAGCTAGGATAATTTTATCAGATGAGCAGAAAAGCTCAAAAGCTATGTACATATGAACATATAAGATGATGGTAAGTGAAATGAAACCCAAGAGGTTTTTCTTTGTTTTTTATAATGTACTATGTGATTTTTGTGTTTCTTTTGTATGTTCTTCCCCCTATAGTGTACCCCCTGTTCTTACTGTACTTGATTTTGGTACCCTGTTTCTTGTTTATACATTTGTCTAATTGGGAGAGAAGGGGAAATAACAAAATGCTGAAAAAAAGCGGACACAGGATGACCCATTGCAACAATGATACCTACAAGACACCATATTGGAAATGAACTTTACAACTTCATAGGGGGGAGGTGAGGGGAAGATGGATAGGGAAGGGATAGTGGAAGAACAACAAAGGAGGGAGTAACAATGCTTGACAAGAAATGTACTCATTACCTTACTCATGTAACTGTACCCGCTCTGTACAGCATCTTTAAAATAAAATAAAAAAATTAAAAAGTACCAATGTTGCATACTTAAAATGATATTTTCCTAGTTTCCCACTTTCACTATTTATATATGTTTATTTATAATTAACTTTTAGTAGCACATAGTACACATGCAAATATTTTTAGTATCTGAGATAAGTTTCTTATATTTTTCTAGTACATAGAATAAAAGCAAAATACATTTATATTCTGAAAGCTTTATTTTTTCACTTAACATTAAAGTACTTGTTGAGTTAGAGTCTATGAATGCATCATAGATGTTAACAACTCTGTGCCATTTTATTCCATTAAGAATAAACAATACAGAGCTGGAGATTTAGCTCAAACAGTAAAACACCTTCCTAGCAATCTCTAAGCCCTGGGTCCAATGTATAATAAAAATAAAAATAAGGACTAGATGCTACACAATTGGTAAGACATTTTGGAAAGTTAATTATTAGAAAAGATGATCAAGATTTCTTTCCAAAAACATGTTATATGTGAGACAGTTTTTGTTTTTTATTATTTTAAGTAGTTATACAAAGGAATTGTCATTTACCCAGTTTATGAATCCATCGTACTTTGACCAACATTACCTCTTTCAACATTCTTACCCATCCTTCCCTTACATACCCCTTCCTTTATTTTATTAATGTTATATGATAAACAGTGGATTCCTGACCGCATTCTCTGCCTTCTTTTCCTCTTATTTATCTATTCCTATCCATATGACTCCAACCCATCTCTTCTAATTTCCTACTTCCTGATGTTTATTTTGTTGAAATTTGACTTTGTTTTTTTAAGGAATTACACTATTGGAATTCTTCCTTGAATTTTCCATATTTAAGCTAATACTTTTGTATGTATTTTCATAATATGCAATGTATTTATTGGTAGGTTTATAAGCCGAATATATATAAGGGGAACATAAAATCCATTTCTCTCTGGGGCTGACTCACTTCACTTAACATTCAATTGGATCTTTGCATTTTTTGTTTTTGAAAATGGAACTATATAGTTCTTTCTAATGGATATATGGGTATATACCCATAGTGTATATATGCCATATTTTCTTGATCCGTTCTTCCACTGTGGGGAATCTGAGCTTATTCTATACTTTGGCTATAATGAACAGTGCTACAATGAATATAATTGTGCTGGTGGTTTTACTGCATTCTGGTTTGTAATCAGTCATAAAAACCCAGGAGTTGAATGGAAAATTTTGATAAGGATGTTTGGGTAAGGATCTGCTAGCTGTGGAAATGATACCCATGGATGCAATAAGGCAGGGAAGCACATTGTGTTATATGTCCACATAGCTACTTGTTGAGGAAGTTCACTCTGAGAAATAGTGTTTTAGTTATGGAGTTTCATTTACTTAGCATGTGGTAAAAACAAGTTGGAAAATTGATCTGGTCAGCAAGGAAAAACACAGCAAAAACATCAATGATCTCTGGAGAGAACAGCTTTTAGGATCTAAAGGTAAGTACACTAATATTGTTTACATCATATTTGTTAAAGAACATCTTGTTCTAGCAAGCTTCAAAATGAACAGTATTTAGCCTGGAGCTTTCCACACCAACTATCCTGAGCCTCATTAATTATAATATAATACCACTGTGGTTTCATAACATGGTCGGGGTCCTCCTCATGGAATTGTCATCAAAACCAGAGGAAGAGCAGCCACAGCCTCTCCCAATTTAGAGGCAGTTAATGGGGCTAGGTAATAAGACAAAATAAGAAAACAGCTCATAGCAATCTATTGTCTTGGAAGGAAAAATCTACAATATATAGTTAAGGCACAAAACTCAAATGATATATTAGAAGCCATGATAAAGCATGTGGTCCAAAGGAAGAAAATGCAAAGTAGGAGGTTCAGAATATGTTGAATCACATGATAGCAGACAAGGAGTTGTAAGAATTCAGTTTTTATTTAGAATTGATATTTCAAACTACTATTGTGATTGAATTTATTGTTTTCAGCATCAGAGTTTAACCATTACTCCAATTAGCAGATTTGTATACTCTAGCTACAGATAAACTAACCTTTTAGATATTTGGTATTTAAAAGAGACAATCTATTTTTTTTAAAGTATAAAACAGGCCTCCTATAGGAGATAAACACTGTAAAACAGTATTTCAAAGTCATGTGATGTTAGGTTCTTGGCTAAGTCTTCCCTGAGTATTTCATTAGTCTTTCTCCACTCTCTCATTTAGTATACAAACGGAAAAACATCTGAATTGTTCCACAAATGGGAAAACATCTGGATTGTTCCAAATGCCTAGACTTCTTAGTAGACTTCATGTTACAAGAGTCAGCCAAGATTCTAGCAAATAGCCTACAGAAATATTTGATCTATTCTTTCCTATTCACTTTGCAGATAACTTCCTTTAGTGACATTGAAAATAATTTCAGTTGACTTCTCAATTTATTTATTGAAAAAAATGTTGAGATGCTTTTAACATACCAGGATTTGTACTAAATTCCAGGACACATATTAGGTATGTTTTAAATCAATGCATTAAAGTGAGAATGCCAAAGTTGGCATTTTGGGTAAAACAGTTAACTCTTACATACCATCATCCAACTTCATCTCCTTTGGGCCACCTTTCCTTTCTCATGGTCACTTTCAGGCGTTATTTCATTTTAGACAATTTGACAATGCAAGAATAATGAGAAAAAAATGCATGCTGGTCCTATTTCTAATTCATTTCAGTTGTTCATTTTTCTGGCAATTTATAAAGTACCACAACATGGCCAAAGAAAGTGTTTTCTTATATTGGTATGTTTCCATGAAACCTATCTTGTAGGTAAATGTTTACCAGAATGTGCAACTTTTAGGGTGGATGTAAGTCAATTCTCCAGCAATAGAACATGAAAGGTTCCTAGAAGGGAAAGAGGAAAGCTGCATAACTCAGTAGTTTGTTTAGAGTTTGTTTTGTCAAACAGATGGGAACAGATGGTGTGGCTTCACTGAGCCCAGCATACACTAATAAAGATGAAGTGCATATTAGTGACCTTGGGTCTTGACCTAGAGATTATCCTGTCTCCTATCTCGCATGGTTGGGCCCAGGACAACATCTCATGTTCTTAATAATTCTAATTCAGATCGGTTCAGTAGTTCCTGCCTCAGTTTCTCTGAACTACTACCAGAATATCTAGTTAGCTGTACAAAAAGTTTCATGTCTTCAACTTTGGAAATTATCAAGTTACTTTAGTAGTGGAACCTGGTGAAAGTTTGCTTAGGTTTTCTGCTTGTTTGGGGGTCTAAGCCAGAAATTCTCCTATGTTAAAATTTTGATTCCTCTTTTCTTGAATAAAATAGTAATTCTAATGCCTGTTTCAGATATTTTGAAACTTATGGAATTAGTTCACATGCAAAATGGATGGGCATTGTGATATAAGAACATGAATATTCTTGCATTGGACTAACTTCTATTACCAAATAACTTCCACAAGAAATGAGTTCTCTAAGAAACAAAGTCTGCCTCTTATTACATTGGGACGAGAAGTATAGCATAAACTGAGAAGCACAAGGAGCTGCATTGATAGGAGAGCCATATTCAAAAAGGGAAGCTCATGCCAACAGAATGACAATAGGTGCCTCAGAAGGACATCTACTTCATAGTGACCTACAATAGGTTTATTTTCCAGAAAATTTTCATGATTGAAATTGTATCACTTGAAGGCCAGTCATCAGTGTTAAGGTCTGTAATCCCAGCTACTCTGAAGGCAGAGGTCAAGAACTTAATGATTAGAGGACATCTCAACAAATGATATCTACATGTTGACCAATGTTTGTAAAGCAGCTATGTGGATATCACTGTAACTCCTCTGTATGTCAGCTTTACAGGTCAAACTCTGGGCAAAATTGCAAACTGGATCTGGAAAATAACTGAAGCAAAAAATGAATGTATTGGTATTCAAATGATAACATGAAACTCGTTAGTTTCTAGAAGTAGTCTGATAATGAATTAAATAATATGCTATTGTGAGATTTACAGATTATTCAATTACATTTGAAAACTGATATATATATAAATACATATATATATATATACAATTTGTGGTGAGGGAGTAAACATCATGAGAATAGAAATTGAAAATGATAAGCAGAACTCTACTTAAAGTTGTTAAAGCCTCTCCCTGTGTGTCCCTTCTTTTTAGGAGTCACAGATGAAAGCCATGAAGGAGACTGTACAACTCTGTTTGTCATCTGTTTTCCGTGATCAACCACCTCCTTTAAGTCTAATCACATCAAATCCTTCTCAGATGTTACTTCCATCCAGAACAATTGCTTCTAAGATTCCAGATGCCAGAGTAAAAAGCAAGGTAACTTTAAATCATACTTTGAAGTATAATATCAACTAGTGTGCCATCTTCAAAATCTATTATAGATGACCACAAAGTACACTCAAATAGGGTTTCAAATTGCAAAATTAGGAACCATGTGAATTATGCTAGTAAATAAACTATTAATATTCCTTTGGAAACTTTTGGGAGGCAGGCTTTCTATAGCAGAGATTATGGTACTGTTTATAAAAAACAAAGCTAATATATATATATATATATATATATATATATATATATGTATCACATTTTTCTTGACCCATTTCATCCAGTGAGGGGTCTTGGGGATTGATTCCACATCATATCTTTGGTAAATAATGATGTAATGTTGTAATGAACATGTTTGTGCTTGTAGCTGTAGTGTGGCCTTGTTTGTGGTCATTTTGGTAAATGCCCAGGAGTGAGATTGCTGGGTTATAAGATTGGCCTTTATTTAATTTTTGATGAACTACCATACTGCTTTCCAGAGTGGTTGAACAAATTTAGATTCCCACCAACAATATAGTAGTGTTCTCTTTTGGCCACATACCTACTTGCATCTGTTATTATTAGTTTTCTCGATTAATGACCATTCTAACGGGGGCAAGATGGAATCTCAATGTTGTTTTCATTTGCATTTCTGTTATCACCAGAAATGTTGAACATTTCTTCATGTGTCTATTGGCCATTCTTATTTATTCTTTGAAGAAGTCTCTCTAAATCTTTATCCCATTTTTTTTTTTTGGTTGGTCGTGGGGCTTGGGCACTGTCCCTGCACTTTTCAGCTCAAAGCAAGTGCTCTACCACTTGAGCCAAGGCCCCCCTCCTGGTTTTCTAGTGGTTTATTGGAGATAAAAGTCTCATGGATATTTCCTGTCAGGGGTTGGCTTTGAACCACGATCCTCAGATCTCAGCCTCCTGAGTAGCAAGGACTATAGGCGTGAGTCACCAGCGCCCAGATTTATCCCACTTAATGGGCTGTTATTTCATTTGGGGTTTAGATTTTTGGGTTCCAGGTATATTTTAGATATAATTCCCTTGTCTTATGTATAGCTAGTAAAGATCTTCTCCCAATCTTTGTGCTATTTATCCTGATATATATGTCCTTTGCCATGAAGAAACTCTGCAGTCCCATTTATAAAGGCTTTCTTTGAGTTGTTGTGTTTCTGGGTCTTAGGAAGTTTTGACCTGTGCCATGAAATCCTATCCTTTCTTGTAATATTTTCAGGGTATCTGGTCTTATATTGAGGTCTTTGATCACTTATAAAACTTACCTCTAAGAAACAGAAGCAAGAGTTTTGTTTTGTTTTGTTGTTTTTGTACTGCTTGCAGTTATTTCTTTTTTTTTCTCCTCCCCCTTTTGATTTATTCCCTGTTGTCATTGGTTTGTTGTCCTTGCTGCTTAATCTGTACTTTTTGTCTTCTTTATCTGATGATTTGGGAAGGGGAAGAGAATCACAGAAACGGTGGGAAAAATGGTGAACTAATTAACACTGATACTCACTAGAATCTATGTTGGAAATGAAATTTACAATTGGTGGGGAGGAAAGTCCTTGGGAAGTAGAAGAAATGTGGGAAGGGGTAACACTGCTCAAAAATACATCTACTCATTACCTAACTTACATAACTATAAATCCTCTGTACATCACTTTTACAATAAAAACTTTAAAAGAACATGTTATAAACAACAACATCAGAGATAAACAGTGAATTTAAGGGAAATATCTGTTAAGCGAAATAGTAGTTAAGGGAAATATCTTGTGTTACATTCTATTAAACCATCGGATGTGATACTTTCTGCATCATGGGGTGGTATAATCATGATCACCAAAAAATTAAAATTCTTTATAAATTAAGTCTAGAGCACTTAACACTCCTTGAACACTGGAGTCATGTGCATTTTAATCGTATTTTGTCTTTGTACTTATTATGTTGGTTGGCAGGAATGTGAAAAAATTAAAGTTGACATTTTCATTTTCCCTTAGATTTTCCTTTCCTTTTGCTGAAAACTAAAAGTACAAAGAACTGTGCAGTTTTATGCTTACCACAAGAATTTTTTTTAAATTGGTAAACCACATAGCTACCTAAAACTCACCCACCTACCAGATTCCACTTTTAGCTTACCTAGGGTTCTTATAAGCTTTGCACTTTTATGGACCTGTGAAATTTGCCTTTGACCTGAAATATAATTATTTGAACCCATTATTAGAACTGGACTTTTATAAGAATAAGTCCTCATCCTGGCATTGAAATAAATATTTATTATTTTTCTTCACTCATCACAGAAAATGACAAGGAGACTTGAAACTAGCTGGGTTTGGAGATTGTTCATTTAAAAAAATAACAAAAATCCAATTGTTTAAAATGAAGTTCAGTAAATCTAAGTTAATGTACTAGAGAAAACCCTATTTCAGAGATTAGCATTACAAGCCTATCTGGTGTTTCTGTTTCACCCATAGTTTTTATTTTTTATTGATAATTTTTTTTATTGTGAAAATACTGTACAGAGGGGTTACAGATACATGAGCAAGGTCATGAGTACATTTCTTGTCAAGGATTGTTGTCTTCTCCTTTGTTTCCCCTTACCATTCCCTTCCCCTCCACAAATTATACCAACATCAAATACAGTGAAAACAGGGGTTATACCATGGGTGAGAGACATACAAAGCAATAAAAAAAATCATCTTATAAATATATTAGAAACAATAGCAAGAAAGAAAAACCACCTGAGTCCTAATCTTGGGGGTTCATTTTTCCTTACATCAACTTGTCTGACCTTTTCTGCTTGTCTCAGACATATGCTAGTTATTGCAAATAAAGGAAACCATGGGACCTATGTTTCTTTGGGCCTGGCTTACTTCACTTCATATCATTTTTTCCAAGTCTTTGCATTTCCTAAGACATGAGCAATGTCATTCTTTCTGATGGAGGCATAGAATTCCATTGTGTATATATACCACATTTTCTTCATCCATTCATTTACTGAGGGGCATCTGGGTTGGTTCCATCTTAGCTATGGTAAATAATGCTGCAATAAACATAGTTGTACTGGTAGTGTTAGTATGATCTTGTTTGTGATCATTCGGGTAAATGCCCAAAGGTGGGATTGCTGGGTCATAGGGGCTCCATGTGGAGTCTTTTGAGGAATCTCCATACTATGCAAATCAAAACAACACTGAGATACTACCTCACCCCAGTTAGAATGGCTATAATCAAGAACTCCAATAACAACAGATGCTGGAGGGGATATGGACAGAAGGAAACCCTACTGCGTTGTTGGTGGGAGTGTTAACTTGTTCAACCACTTTGGAAAGTAGTATGGAAGTTCATAGTCTTTATTTTTTAATAGTGGTAGGAATTGTGTCTTAAATATGCTTGGAGCTTAATCTTGAGAAAACTCACAGGTCATATTTTTAAAACCTGAATAGTCTAATGCTATATAGGTGTACAATAAGAAAAATAAACATTTCAGTCATGGAATAATTTTTCTCTATGTACACAAAATAATATTGTGTGTGTGCTTGTGTGTGTGTGTGTGTGTGTGTGTGTGTGTGTATGTGTGATAGTGTGTGGTATTGGGGATCAAACCACAGCTCTTTCACGTGGCAAGCAATTTCTCCACCACTATGCTACAATGCCAGCCCAAATTAGGACATTTAACTGCTCATCTTCAGAAAGGGTTAACTCTAACTACAGTGATCAGTGTGCCTGGATGAGAGTTGTGTGATAATCATGTCATCACACATCACGGCTGATCTCATAGGTTTATTGTGACATGAACAATGAAGATAGTATTTTTTTTCTTATTTGCCTTTATATATATGTCCAAGCTTGTATATTCTCATTTGTTTTTCATAAAGTCCAACTTATTGTGTTGTTGTTGATACCTGTAGATTATACTGTGGTATGAAGATTAGGGCTTGAGCTTGTTAGACAAGCATTCCACCACTAATTTATATATCTATGCCTTGTCCAAATCCCCTTTAAATACTTATTTCAGTGAGTTTTTGTAAACCAAAATTGCAAAAAAAATGTCTAAATTAATGTTTTTTGGTTTCTATATGAAAAATGATAGCACAGCTTCCAAAGATGGCATTTTTATTTCTCTCGAGAGGTCTGTTTGTAAGCTTATATTTTATTCCTGTGAATTTTTATTCCTTTGTATTTGTGTTTATGTAATGAAAACACATTTACGTTTATGAATCGTGTACATACACTTGTGTATATGTGATTTTATAAGCTCTAAGTTCACTACAGTTGGAGGAAGAAATTTTAATGGTTTACTGGAAAGTTTTAAAAACTAATGTAAACATTTTGATTCCAATATTACATATTTGGTTTTTCATTCTACAGCATAGTATTATGACGTAAAGTTCATGTGTATCAGTTTTTTTCTCAATGATTACATTTTATCTTTATCATTGCCTGCTTCTTTCTAATGTGAAGGAATTTTTTCTCTTACCCACTTAGTAAAGATGAAGTTTTTTATAAGCAGTGCTTTGGCAGCTGAATGTTGACTCCTCTTGTCTACTCTTGACCCTAGGTCATATCTCAGTGTAGTGATGCTTGCAGATTCCTCACTGTGCTTACCTCATCGATCTGCCTGACATTTGTCAGTACCCAGACAATGCTGCAGGAGGATTAATTTTAAATGACATTTACTGAGTGTCTCTCTTCCTACTAGACCTTTGCTTTATTTAGAAGAGAGAAAAATAGGTTATGAAGTTCTCATTAAAAGCTTAATAATAGTCAGTCTGGGAAAGTGGCTTAATGGTAGAGTTCTTGCACAGCATGCATGATGCCCTAAATTTTAAAAAAAAAAGCTTTATACTCAACCAATCTTTGCTTATCTGTATGTGATAACTGTTATAGGTTCTGATGAGGATAATGTGGGATGGTAAGGGTGTATCCTTTTGCAACCATGTCATTCCAAGAAAGCAAGAGAAGTGCAGGGGGTGTTTGTAATAGAAAAAATATTCTATCCTTTTATTAATATTCAAATT